CTCTCCTCTATCCACTCACCCCAACCGGTCGAGGCAGAAGGCCGCCCACCAAGAGCCGGGGTCTGTCGGAGGTTTCTTCCGTTAAAGGGAGTTTTTCCTCCCCACTGTCGCCAAGTGCTTGCTCAAGGGGGATTTGTTGGGTTTTCCCTATGTAATAATATTGATAACAGTAAGGTCTAGACCTTACTTTGTAAAGTGTCCTGAGATGACTTTTGGTGCTATACAAATAAGGTTTGGTTTGATTTGACTTAGAACATATGTACACCTCATTTTTTGAGCTGTAGGTCACGTTTGAGATGATAATTCACCGTCGTAACATTTTAGATAAGTGAGAAAACAAGGCAAAGCGCCACGGGCCCATTAAATCAAACCAGGTTAGATCAGGCTGCTAGAAATAATCAGGTTTCTACGGTACATGTGAACTCAGTTAACACTGCAGGTAAAATTTTGTCTTTTGAAACTTTGTGGACTCTGTTCTGCAACTCTTCTCCAAACTGTTTCCACACCTTCACAGTCCATCACCTAGGTCAAAGGTCGAAGTGGGCCAATAAATTACGAAGCAGTGCTATTACTCCTCTGTTAGTCCTGTCTGTGCCAGACATTTCTGCTTGACCCCTGCTTTATTTAGACACTTACTCTTTTAATAGTGACGATGTAACGAGCGTTTCCTTTGTGAGTCACATGCTATCGTTAGTCAGAGTGGTGGCTTCAGTAGTGGGAACAGTGCCAGGATGAGGATGACATTAAACCACTGAAGAATAAGTCAAAGAAAGGTCATACACTATGCAACACTAAGTGTGCCACTTCTCAACCACAAGGCACGTAAATACTGCCCCTGTTGCAATAAAGAAAATGACAGAAGTTGTAACCAGACCTTTTCATCAGTGTATAGGCAAGATGTCTTTTCTCTTCCTCTTGTAAAAGCAAGGTTTCATGTTGTAATATCAAACTAATGAACTTGTGTGATCTGATTGTTTTAGCTAAGAGAAATCACAAGACCCAAAGGAAGTGTGTTCGCTGGTAGAACGATATCCCTGACTTCTGACGGCCGTGGTGCACACAACAACATGTTGTCTTGTTGTCGTACCTTGTGCAGGTTCTTCAGTTTGGGAGGCAGGTTGTCTCGAATCATCTTCATAGCTTTGAGCGGCGGCTCGTTGAAGTACGGCGGCTCCCCGTCCACCATCTCTATGACCATGATGCCTAGAGACCAGATGTCCACCTGGACACAGCGAGAACAGTCAGTCGACAAGTAAAAGAAATTGTTTAGATGTGCAAATAACAACAAGAGAAAACCCATTGCGAATGTCACCTCCGGTCCATAAGGCAGCCTGGATATGAGCTCTGGTGCCATCCAGTACGGCGTCCCAACCAGAGACTTCCTCCTCTGCACCTCCTTAGAAACCTGGGCACAGAAACCAAAGTCTGACAGCTTCACCTGGAGACACAGAGGAGTGACGAGAAGGAAACACAAAGGTACAGGAGTTATATTTTACACAAAATACTAGGGCTGTACCTGACCAAGCAGTTTGTCAGTGGACTCCCCAGTGCGACTACTCAACCATCTATATACCACCCTCCGACCACAGGGGGAAGCACTGAGCAAGCTGCTGCTTGGCACACCAAAATGAGAAGATGACAAACTGACGTGACTCGACTGTGACTATTAGGGGACAGCCCTACAAAGTACACAACACAGTGACCTTCACAGCTGAGGAGTTTTTAACATCACATTTGTGTCTGAAGGAATGCAGTCACTCTGTGTAGGTACCTTGTTTATCATTTCAACGCTGCTATAGCAGTTGCATTCTTCCAGAAGTCTGTGGCACTGCAGCAGTTTATTCATAGTACATAATGAATTCCTTAAGGCTTGTAAATTTGACTTGTTACTACGGAGAAGTTCAACAGAAAACCAATGAGCAGTTTATCAGGTACACATAGCTGCAGACGTAGCCTCGTCTCACTGATATGGATGGAGCGGACCTGTCAGTGTAGATCAATACAGGTTACAAATAAAGATGCAGTTTTTTCAACACCTCAGTAAAACAGTCTGAACCCAAACTGAACATTATCACGTTCATAAAGCAGAATGTGATGCAGGACTTTTGCATTAGACTGACTCAGCTGTAGCAGGGTGTTTCTAATAAACTGTCAACTCTGAGAGGAAGCTCAACATCCATTTTGAATATCTAAGGCACTTTTCACGCTTCAGTAGCTGACAGACAGTGGAGTCAGGCCTCACTGGCATCCACCCGTCTTTCTGAGAACGCCTCTGCATGGCTGTGTATCTCGACAGAGAGCCAGGCTTTGATGCTGCTCATGAGGCCGACTGCGCTCACATACACAGGATGGCTGACACAGATGGGCGGAGCTTCACAGACAGCATCACCATTTATTTATAAATATGAGCTCAACATTAATACCTGAATTAACCAGAAGACAGACCTAATGTCTGAAGCTTAATGTCTTTTCACACATACCACCCCACACACAGGTGCATTTAGACACAGCAGCCCTACTGATGAAAATCACTTGGCTGAGCCTGCTTCTCCTGCCAGGCCAAACCACGAACAACAACTGAAACCCAGCACCAAAACACCACAGCAGCCAGCGGCAAGCTTTCTGCCTGAACATGCACCCACTCAGACGTCTTCCCCTTCCTGCAGTCATAGAAAAAAAAATACTGGAACGCCTGCATTTCTGTCAGATAACGCACCAATTCTCCAGAAAACTGTCGCAATTACAAATCTTTGGTATTCTCATGTTTGTCTTTTGTTTGCATTGGAACAATAGGTAAAAGCAGAACTCCAAAAATAGACTGGACAGAATTATTGACACCCCCAACTTAGTATTTAGTAGCACACTCTTTGGACAAAATAAGTGAAATCAATCACTTCCTGTAACCACCAGTAAGTTACACCTCTCTACTGGAATTTAAAAGTAGGTTTGGATGAACATCACAACTGTGTGAAGCTACACTAAAGCACTTAGGGCAAAGTAAATGCTCTAACACATCAGCCTCACTGACCCAGTCACTGACCCCCCCATCTCACCAGGATGACACATTTATGGCACAAGGATTAAGTAAACAGCACCACCTAACCCGCTGTACAACAGTGATACACACAGGTGACAGATGAGAGGACGACCCAACAGAGTCCCAGTGAGGTGCTGGGCCACCATGTGACACCACAACAGCTCCACCTTGAGTCTCCAAGTCTCTGAACCCTCCTGGAGGGATGAACACTGTTCTTCCAACAAATGTTCCCTCGTGTGGTGTTTTGATGGTGGTGGGGGCACTGGACCACCCATTTCTTCGGGCGGTTCCTTTGTCATTTTATCCCCCTTCTTCTGGAACTGAAATAGATCAGTTTAGCCCTTAACTGTTACAGACTCGTATCGTGTAGGTTTGTTGACTATGACACACCAGAGACCGAGCTCTCTTTTTCTCTGATGTTGCTGTGCAACCATGTTGGTTTCATTTTCTGCAAAAAGCAGAAACTTGCTTGTCAACAAGCAGGAAGTGAGTTGGAATGTGTCTCAGCTCTTCAGCAGCAGCTAACAGTCAAGCATTTAGTTCCTTTTTAGAACCAACTTTTTATTTTTATTCTTCTAAATGTGGGTCATGTTTTGTCACTGGTTGCTGTGCTGCACTGAGTTTGAGCATCCTGTGAATATAAGTGAGGAAGCAGCTCCTTCCTGTCCATCATATGCACACAGTGAGCCACAGCAGCACATTAAATCAATTTTAGCATCAATTAAGTCAAGTGTGCTAGTACTGAGTCCTGATAATGACCGGCACCAAAGGATGATCTGGAAAACGAAGCTGTGTATATACACATTTCTATATTTATAATTAGTTTGCTTTTATTTTCCTAATGCACGTTCTTTTTCTTATTTTGTTCTCAGTCTTATCATCTTGTTTTCTTGTTGCCTTACATCCACGCCGAGAGCTACTGTACCAACACACCAGGCCAATAAACCTCGCTCTGGCTGAAACGTTTACATGGAACAGAACCATGATTAATGTTATGCTTGTGTTGCCGTGACTAGTCAGGATGTCTTTTATGTAGTGCTGCCTCAGGCAGAATGATGTAGTCTGACAAATGAAAGAAGATGTGTGCATTTTGCTTATGTGAAACCACAGACCAAACTCTTCTTTGCTGCAGCTGGTCAGCCCACAAACAAGGTTTCCTGTCCTCATCTGCCTTTTAAATCACTATGACAGTTTACAGCTTTAACACCTTTTATAAACTGCTCTTCCTGGTGGAAGCTGGTGGTGTGCTGAAAAGAGTGGCATGAAGAGACCCTTGTATGGAAAAGTGTGCATACCCGGCCATCATGAGTGAGGAGGATGGAGTCACTTTTTATGTCTCTATGGATCACACCCTGTGTGTGCAGGACAGACAATGCCTTCAGGACGGACAGACACACTGTGGCAATCTGCTCCTCGTTCATCCTGCAGAGAGAAGGACACCAGAGACATAAGCCAGTCTGTTGCCTCTGTTATTACTGCTGTCTCCAGTTCACACCATCGGGTGTGATCACATCTAAACCCAGGTGGAAACTAAGTACATTTACACAACTGTACCCAAATAGAATTTTGAGGTATTTGTACTTTTGAGTATTTTCATTTTGACTTCACTACATTTCAGAGGCAAACCGTGTACTTTTTACTGCACTACATGTATTTGATAACTTTAGTTCCTTTTCAGAATCAGATGAATCAAACCAAACCCAGTTGAACCATCAGACTCTATTGATCCCAGTGGGAAATCCACCAGCTACCCAGTAGGATGGAAAGTACTTCAGCACAGTATACAAGGTGGTCAACATCAGCTCCACCGTTACCAACATTAAAGCGATGGACACATTAATGCATCAACAATATAATCTCGATATAACAATAACAATATAATAATGTTAATGCACAATATGATGTGCATTAATGTGCATTAATGTGAACGGTACCATTCTGCATAAATGACTACTTTCACTCTTGGTGCTTATTTTGCTGCTAACACATTTGTGCCTAACTAGCACTTCGAATGCAGGACCTTTGCTTGTAACAGTATTTTTACACTGTAGTTGTTACTTTTACTTCAGTACACAATTTGTGTACTTCCTCCACCAGTGTGCAGCGCCCACAAACACAGACCAAAACAAACTTTTAACTTGTCTGTTTTACAGTTTGTAGACAGAGTCAACCAAAGTTACAAATACCTGCAAATGCATAAACCAATAAAACATTTGATGTTGTGAACAACAGTAAAATGACACAGGCCGAGGTGGCACATCTCTGTACGGAACAGATTAGGTAACACTGCCCCCTTATGGACGACAAGAGGAAATTTAAGCCAGTATATTATAATGGAGAGGTGATAATAATAAACAGCCTTCATTAGAAATAAAAAGACTTAAACTAAATGAAAACACATTTATTATAAGGTCACGTATCAACCCAATACAGTTAAAAGTTGGCATAAATGAATCAAACCTGTCTGAAGAAACAAAGCGTTTCTCTGTTCTCACCTGGTGTGTGTCACGATGTCAGTGAGAGCTCCTCCCTCCAGGAACTCCATGACGACCCAGAGCTCGTCTCCCACCAGGTAACTGTTGTACATGTCCACCACATTCTCATGGTGGTAGTCCCGCATGATCACCACCTGCAGTTACCATGGAAACAGATGCACAGACAGGATGTCATCACATCACTCAAACTCAAAAGAATGGCAGCTTACAGGTGGACAGACTCGTGTATCTCAGTCGTTAATGCTGCTGGAAACCGTATCTAATCACTTAGAAGTCTGAAAAGTAAAGTGATAATTAGCAGCTAATGTGAGTGTGAAATGGAGCTGTGTACTCTATCACCTGCATAATTTGTTATTTTATATCTAAATGTTGTGCGAGTAGAGCGTGAAACAGGCTTTCATCCAGTACATTTATATTTGCTAAATTAGCTTGTGTCAGTAAAACATGGAATATACTTGTCAGTGTTTGTTTATAAATGTTGATGATAAAATAGCACAGTATTCACCCAGGAGCCACCTGAACAATCAAAACCAACACAACAGCTTTGTAATAAACTCTCATTCTATGATTCCTGTAATATTCAGTTCTTTTTTTAAAACAGTCATTAACACTGATGGACTAGTGGCTAGGATTCAGCGCTCTCGCCACTGCGCCCCGTTCGATTCAGGGTTGCGTCAGGAAAGGCACCGGCGTAAGACACACGTGCCATTCTTCACCATGTGAGCTGTCAGTGTGATGATTCACTGTGGCGAAAGTGAATTATTTATTAATGAATGAATGCTATATCTGCCAGGAGCATAAAATTTACCCATGTCTGTATTTCAAAATCTTTACGTTCCCAGATGAGCGGGAGGTCCGCTTCTCTGCACTGTGAGACGAGGAGAGAGCAGAGCGGGCTGGCTCACACTCACACACCAGAGGAGAGACAGGGCTGTATCTGACTCCACATGATGTTACTCATTACATGCAACAAAGTCCACCACTGAAGGGAGCGAGTCCCAGCAGTTTACCAACACTTTGCTCTCCCCGTGGTCAACTCCTCTGGTCCCGTTTACTCACTAAACCCAGAGGCCAATTTTATCTATCCAACAGCAGAGTGTAATGAGCTCTGTATATGAAAAGCAGTTGAATCTTTCCTCTCTGTCCGGAGGAAAGTGTGACTGGTGCATCCCTAGTGTCCACCAAACAGCGTTCACTAAATCATGAAGCCCTACCTCATTGAAGAGGAGTTCCCTGCGCTGCTGTTTCCTCAGGTCCATCTTCTTCACAGCAACCAGTTTCCCTGTAGTCTTCACTGTAGCAATACACACTATCCCCGTGGACCCCTCCCCTATCTTAATGTAGTGGTCAAGGTAGGTTCGTGGATCGCCAGGATCCACCACCATCTGTAGCGCCGCTCTGAACTGCTCATGGGAAACCCTCTGGGGCTCTCTCTGCGGTGAGCAGCCCTGAGGCTGAGCACCTGATGCCGGCGGCCCAGAAGACAGCGGGGGCCGTGGGGCTGGAACGTTCGGGTGAGGGGTATGCGGATGCTGGGTGGCCTCGGGGGTCAGGCTGGGGTGGGAAGTGTGATGAGGGTGCGGGTGGCTTATAGGGGGCTTGGAGCTGGAAGACCCTTGAGCTGAGCCACTAGAGGGGCCGTTTTGAGGGGAGGACTCATGGTGTCGAACCGGCTGAAAGGAGGAGAACGTTACCAGAAACAGAACGTACAGTGAGCATTAAAAAAAAAAAAAACCAGAGGAAGCCATCTTCTCTGGTTGGAGCTGAAACAAGAATAATTTCCTTCATCAAAAATAATCATTTCCTCTAGACACAGGAGGGGGCGACTGATTTAATCCTCAGAACGTTACAAGAAACAGAACGTACAGTGGGCATTAAAAAAAAAAAAAACCAGAGGAAGCCATCTTCTCTGGTTGGAGCTGAAACAAGAATAATTTCCTTCATCAAAAATAATCATTTCCTCTAGACACAGGAGGGGGCGACTGATTTAATCCTCTATCACAGAATATGTCATTTTCATTCACAAAACTCATGTAAAATGGTAATTTGTCCAAAAAGTCAAATAGAAGACTGTTAATGGATAAATTACCATGTAGAAATGTCTGATTTAGCACAGCACAGTAAATATCTGGCAAATGCAGGTTCTTCATCACAAAACTCAACAGCAGGGAGCAGTCCTCCTCAGTGATTTGCCTAATACACAGTTATATTATTAGTTGTGGTACAGGAAATGATGTATTGTGTAAAAAAAACAAACAAACAAAGAAAAACAATAAGTTTCTTATCATGGCACAATTCTGTAAAGTAGTTTGTATTTATAAAACCATGAACTCAACCTGCAGAAACCGTGACACTAACGCATCACTAACATCTTCAGAGGAGAGAACTAGGGCAGGAAAACAAAAGACAAGGTGATACCAGCCATCATCCATCAGCCAGAGGCTCAGCGTGCCCGTCTGTCCCTACCTGTCCAGTGGGGCTGCGTCCGCCTTCGCTCTCTGTGCGTGGGTAGGTGTTAAATGGCCGTGCGGCCTGCTGGGCAGTCTTTATCACCCCCTCAGTCACTGGCAGGTTTGGGGTGCGTATGTTGGGTCCAGAGAGAGGCCTCTTGTCCCTGGGAGACTGAGGGCTGCCATCCCGTGCCACGTAGCTTGACTTTGGCCTGTGATCACTGGGCTGATCCCTGGGAACCACCTGCTCCTGAAGAGAGGCAGGGGTGGTTAAGAGACGGTATTAAAAATGGACAGGAAAAGTGCATGAATGGAAGCGGACAGAAGCCACAGGGTGGATTTCCTGCTGCAGTGTCAAATGGCAGCAAATAACAAATATTAACTAAAATGCACAAGACTCGATGCACTTGTTTAAGACCTAAACAATCATCAGCTGCTGTGTTATGTCCAGTAAGAATATATCAGTATGGGAAATGCAGTTCTCAGGTTTGAGTGGTTAGGGTTAACTAGGGTTAAACTAAGACTTAATATAAAGACCTAGAAGACAGTGACAGTAGGAAAGAGAGCTCTGAGTCCCATTAGCTACAATGTCAAACTAAAGACTATTATTATGATAAATATAAAGTTGTGGGGCCGTTTTGTGTTTGATTCAGAGTTCATCTTTCATCCCTACCTGGTCCCGTGGAGGTCTGTTTCTGTGTGGGGGAGGAGGAGGGCCAGAGTCTGGTCGGTCCCTGCGGGGCTCTTGGCCTCGTGGCTGCTGCTGAGGCCGCGCCTGTTGCCCTTCATCCCTTTGAGATGGATGGACCGCTCGCGGCCCCTGATGGGGGTCACCTCCACTCCGGTGGTCTCGTCTGGCTCCATCTCTGAGAAGCAGAGTGATTTATAATTGGGGTGTAACAGCTCGTGGGCTCCGTATTGTTCCAGTGTCCATCATAAAACTATGACGTCACCTATCAGAGGAAATACACTGCAGAATCACATCACCTGGAGCTGCAGTTTAATCCCTTACCTGTCTTGTCTGTCTGGGTGTCTCTGGTGAGGATCTCCATTCTCCTGCACTCCTCCCCCTGAAGAACTGGAGTCCCTGCGAGGCTGGATGGGTGGGCTGCCTCGTCGCAGGGAGTTGGAGCGTATCACAGACATGGTGTCAAACTCATCCAGCAGCCATGTCAAAGAGCCGTCCACCGCCATCTTGTTGCCACGTACGATTGTCTGGGGAAAGCGGTGAAAACCGTGACTAGTTTAGGATTCTGTATCATTTTACAAAGGGCTTATAAAACTGTCAACGCTCCAGTGAACTGTTGGGTATTAAATTTGAATATCGTTCAGTATTTGTCTTTTGTATCAGCATCAATCCTGTGGCCCTGCCCCTAAACCTTCCTTCCTGCTTAGACTGAGTTAGTGCCACCAAGTTAATTGGTGACAAGGCAATAGACACGGGACAATATAACTTCTTCTTGATAAGATTCAATTCACAATATGGTGCGTAGAAAAATTCAATGACAACAATGTATGAGTAGCTACAGAATACTTTATTCATCTCTTTTCCCCTTTTCTAGCACTGGTGAACAACCAGATATACTAGCTCCTTACACACAACCCTTTCAAGGCGGGATAGGTGCGCCTTTATTCAGCCTGGTTTTCTGTGTGGCGGGCCATTCTCACTCCGCTTCTGGTTGGCCTTGGTAGGCGGTACCAGAGGTGAAACAAAGGGAAGACGTGCTCTGTGTAGAAAAGATGAGCCGGCAGTCTGGGACCAAGTGCTACGATCTGATGATGCAATATGTGCGCGACACCATCACCTGTGTCTCAAGTCTGCACGCCGCTCTGACTCGAACTGTTGTCGGCTTCTGACTTACAGGTCAAAGCGTTTCTGATGTCACAAACGCGCTGACTGTAGTTATTACTCATTCACACACATAGCAAGAACCAGGCTAACCAATTCTGTGTGAAGTGAAAAACAAAAATACTTGAAGAGCCAACGAAGCTACATCCGCACTTATCTCTCTTGCCATTGTTGTTTTGGTTTGTAGACTATCGGAGCATCACATTACATCACAGTTGACGCAGAGTGACGTCATGTCTCGCCTCTGGTGCCGAGAGCCAGCCTGCTGACCGAATTCACACGCTGGCTCACGATTATACCGCTCTTAGCTCGATCTATATGTACAGCAGAAGGGCGGGATATTGGCGACCCTTTGGAACGGCGGTAGCGCAGGATCCCGGTGTAAAAACAACTACTGACATACGTTCTGTTAGGTTACCTGTTCTGTTAGGTTAAAATGAAGTCGCTGGTGTATATAGAGCACACAACACAGCGTTACACAAAACAATACATATTGTGATGTTTTTGTATCGTGATATATTGAATTTTGATATATTGTCCCATCCCTACAAGGTAAGAAACACTCAATGTGTGCGTTTGACCCCTAAACTTGGCTTGTAAAGACTACGGCACCACAGGGACCATGATGGGAAACTGATCTAGCAGCTGGAACTCACAACCTAATAAACAGAATTCTTGAAATTCCACTTAGGTTTAAAATATGGACCATCTACCTTAGCTAACTACTTGTTTGTTGATTTCATTTCAACTCATCTCACCTTGTGTGGCTCTACAGTCGTGATGACAGTTGCGTCGATGAAGGGTTTGGGCCTTTTGGCGGTGTCTTCGATGAGCGACTGCCATTGTCGTGGCAATCCAACAAACTTCTGCTCCTGCTCGTCAAAGTCTGTGTGCACGCGATGCTCAAAGTTAGATGGAGCGGAGATCTGGATACGCGACTTCTTCTTTTTGGTGAACATGGTGGCGGCTGAGGCAGCTGCAGCCTAGCATCAGACCTGAGGGGAGGAAGGAGGAACCAGAGGGGGGTTAATAGGAAAGACTGAAGGAAAAATGCAAATGTCAAACTTCCAGGTGGCATATGTAAAACACACCACAGGCCTGTGCACAAACGGCAGCCTCAGAAAACACTCACTGTCTTGACTCAACACGCAGGCTGGTGGAGGGTTCCTATACTATTCAATCAGTGACAAAGTGAAGTACTTAAAGCCTGTTTACCATCATTGTCAGCAACTGACTGCCTACTTATACTACAGCAACCTAACTGGTGTGTCACATCTCAACAATAAAAATGCTTTGTGTTGTGCGAGTAGACCACCCAACAGGGTTATTTCAGCTCACTGAGCATTATACCAGCTGTGACCTTTAGCTGAAGCTCACTGCTCGTCTCCCATTAGTAATAAGAGGACAACTGCTTCTCTGCAGTGTTTCCTGATGGGCACAGTAACACAACCAACCATCTTTACCGAGACATTTCCTGATCATCTCTTGTGCTTTTCTCACTGTGGCTGTCTCTGCTATGTCACACATATACTGTAATGTACACAACACACCACCGCTGTTGACTGCTCACTTCCTGCCACATACAACTCTCTTACTCTCTTCTGAACTTTGCTTCATTTGAAAATAATTCTGGCATGAATTTTTCAGTGTGTGAAAGCAGGAGGATGCCTGTGAGAACTTCCCCCAGACCTGGTATCTACATGTACTGCAGAGTGACCTTTGAAGACAGCTTGATATCTGACAGCTCAGGTGCTGTGGGCCCAAACCAAAAGTAAAGCTATTAAACTATTAAAAGTTTCTTCAAACCATGAAGGTCAACTAGCTACCGGCTACGAGCCAGGGCTAAAGCAGCTTAGTCATGAACCAGAGGTCCCCACTATGGTTCGGGGCCACAGGTCTGGGCGGGTAACACCGTATTTGAGAAAGTTACAACTAAAAAGAAGTCGGATGCTGCAAGAAAGAAAACTGGAACTAACATCGGTGTGGCTTTTCAATGATGGCGGCAACTGAGAGAACAAAAGGGGCTGAACAGTGACTCCATGGTGTCCGTGTTTCTGCTGGACAGGTCATTATCGGGGGCATTTGATATTTTCCTGAAATCTGTAGGTAACAGTCAGGTGTTGCAGTGCGCGTTGTGTTTTGGAGGAGTGGCTTTGGAGAGACGTCAGAACCAAAGGGTAGGATTTCGCCGATTGTCTACTTTCAAACTCGAGCTTCCTCTTGCTGGTTTTTCCATCAACCCTGCCTTTAACCGGGAACAGCTATGATCAGCAGCAGCTGCTAAAGACGGGCAATTGCGATGTGAAGGATTTTTACACAGCTTTGTCAGGATTCAAGAGTCACTAACACAGGTACACCCAAATAATTTCTCTAATGTAATGCTCGCTCACACATCACGTTTGGCCGTTAACACAGAGTGAAGCTGATGTTACACTTCCTTTGTCTTTTAATAATGTTTGGACCCCCCAAAATAAAATGTCTCATTTATCTGCAGGATTCTGAGGTGAACGATTTAGACAAAGACTGAATTTTGTCAAACAATGACAAGTTTGCACGCCTCATATTTAGTCAAAAAGTCTGCTGTGAAAAGATCAACAAACACTGTACTTCATATTGGACATTACATATTAAAATATATAAGGGTTCCTATTGTTCTGGTCACTCACTGATCCATTTTTTCCCCAAGTTTAACATGAGCATTTTCAGTATGGCACTGTTTCTATTAGCCCATATCATCTCAGTGTCAATCGGTTACTGGCACATGATCACATCTGGTCTCATCAGTGAAATCTGCTGCTACTGTGGCTGAAATGAAAACCTGCAGATGGTGGAGCTATAACCTCTGAAGCACTCGGGTCTGAACAGTGTCCCTCTCTCTACTGTGCTGCATTGTCAGTGGGCATCAAAGGGACACTCCCAGTAGTCAAACGGAGGCTTGCTAGTGAGATCTGTGTGTTGAAAACAGATCAGGGGCCTGCTGCGTAGCTGAGCACAGGGGTCAACAGGAGCGGTAAGAGCAGCTCGCCTGTTAAATCAAACAGTCTTCTCTTCTTGTTTTTCTGCAATGTACTTCCCCAGTTCGGCCTTTAGTCTTGCACAGAAAAGAACAAAAAACAAGGGAAATTGAAAACAAAGCAATGAAAAAATGCAGTGTGAGGTCCAGAAAGGGACAGGCAGGAGGAGGGTGAGCTGGGTGGGTCAGAAGTCAGAGGGCATGAGTCATGCTATGGTGCACATGACGCCTTTCACAGAAGGAGTGTTTCAAGTCTAGCAGGACCTGCCCAGGAACAAGCTGAGAAAAGAGGTTCACTGCCACAACACAACTGTCTAGGACAAAGAGCTAAGAGAAACCAGGATAAGTATCACTGTGGGCACACAGATACACAGAAATCCTTGATTGTTATCACATGGTGCAAAGCTTGCATGACATCACCCGGTACACAGTATCCCACATATCAATCCACTTCCTGTAATTCTCTGAATTTGTTACAACTTCAGAAGAGAAATACAAAGAGCCCAAACACTTCACACAGAAAAACAGCACAGTGTGTTTTTCATAAGCACTTATCTTTATAGATTAGGTTAAGGCAGACAGATTACTTTAGGCTGCAGGGAAACCGAGATGTTACAACAGAAGTAAAAAAAACAAGGTACACTGGAATTAATATGTAATTATTAATGTATCACTGAGTTATGGATATAAAATACAGAGCAGAGATAAAGTTAAAATTAGAAATAATTTGACATTAACAAGTCTGAATTTTAAAAATAAACATATGAATAAAATAAATGTGAGTTAGTCTTTAGAGTCTGTTTTTGGGAGAAGACAAATTTTAAACACACATATTCCAGTCAACGTGAAACGTGACAGAGCCCCTGTATGTCACTGATGCTGCTGTCACTGTTATTCTCAGGTGTTTGGTGAATAAAGCTACTTTTCAGCAATTTCTCCATTTCATCACCTGTGGACATTTATCAAATACAGCTGTATCCTCAGTGTGGATGCTGATGAATTTATGCCATTCAGTCATCCAGTGGCACAGTGTTGTCAGGTCCACAGTCAGACACGTCTTCCCTGAGAAAACAAGATCAGTCTCCACCCGGCCACCAGCTGTGGATCTTGTTGCCATTAGTAAAACTCTCTCATAACAGTAAGGTCACAACACCAGTGGTAAATGCCTCTTTACAGTCATAATGAGACTGGTGACAACAGGGAGGAGGCGTATAAATCGCTGTGGTGGCCGATCATTAGTATCTGACTATCTGCAAGTGAATGGTGAGACACAGATAGCATCTGCTGCCTTTAGGGGGGATAGGTTTAATGAAGACTGGAGGAGGCAGCTGAAGAAATTAAATTATGCCGACAGAGCACAATATGTGCACCCACCCTATGGTTCGATATTATACTACGAGCAAGCTGGGAAACGTTAAGGCTGTTAATGGTCTGACTCATAAACTCTTATTGAAAGCATGAGGGGCTCCAACAGGCTGTAAATCAGGCCAAAAACACGGCCACGCGCAGACTGAAAATGACACCGAGCATCAGACAGCGGTCCGGCTGTCGATTACAAAGGACTGTGGCCTTCAGATCCCGAGTCTTGTTTTTGTGCTGCAGCTCAAGCTAGGCGAGCTCCGGGGGTGTGGGTGAAAAACAAGAGTTCACTGGTTGGAGCTCAAAGACCCTGACTGAGAAAGAACTTTAGTTAGCATGTTGACCTTCCAGCTTTGTTGTATGAATACACAAACCTGTGTGGGTTCAAATGGAGGACCTGACATGCCTGGATGTGAAATTCAGTACAGCTCACTCAGTGGACAATAAATGCACATGCAACATGAGAAGAAAATGACACCAGCTGCTACAAGCTTGTGACAGCACCCACTCAGCAATACACACAGTACAACATGAGAACATGACTGTCCACCTTTAGGTAGATTACTACATTAACTAGTTGTCCCTGTGGATTATGGTGTCTTTTATCTAAAATGGTGATTCAATATACGCCGTGTCAAATACAGAGGTTTTTCACATGACACATTCACGTCCACCATAGTGGATGTGTCGTACTTTGTCTTGAAGCACAGGGCAAAAACCTCAGCGTCTGGTTTACACTGCTAAATCTGCCACCACTGAAATCTGACTCTGAATAAGTAGCAGAGAATGGATGTATCTATACTACTACTACTACTACTACTACTACCACCAATAATAACAATAAGTAGTACAACAGCAAACAGCAATAATAACCACTACTTTACTTTCCCATGCTGCAGCTGTCTCATACTGACATTCACAGAGTTGGACAGGTGTTACAGGAACAGGTGAGCTCCAGCACACAGAGGAGGAGCATGATTCACAGTCACAGCAGGTGGGTGCACAGACACTCCACCAGCCCAGACCAGCCCAGGGCGCAGCCGCTCACACTCCCCACTCCATCTCCATAAAACAACACTGTGTCAAAGAAGATGATGAAAGCAGCAGGTGTCTGCTCCTTCTCACTTCTAGACCGTTTGTTTCATTTAAAATGAATTAAATGAACACACAGAAGGAATTAACAGTCCAATGGACAACAAGCACACAAGCCATCAGACTGTTGAGCGGACCAAACCCAGCACTTAGTTCTTGACTTTTCAGTGGGATGTACTGATACCACTTGTTTGTTTGTTTTTTTACAGACCGAGTACACACAAAAATTACAATTACACAAAAGTAGTAGGGGTGCGACCCTCTGTTAGGATGAAACGATGCTGTGACCCTCTGTTAGGATGAAACGATGCTGCGACCCTCTGTCCAGAAGGTTTAGGAGCCCAAGTGGTATCGGTGCATAGTATCAGACAACTTTTACGAGTATGAGTGCAGGTGCTGGAGGATGGAAGCGGACCTGATACAGGTATCAATGCATCGTTTATAAATGATGTTCTGTAACTTGCAAATAACTAACTAAGGACAAAACAAGTAGTAGCTGTCAACCTAAAGCTAAAACAGTGACAGGGCTGCACCCTGCCACCCACTCAGTGTTCATGCTCTCACACACAGTAAACCAGAAGCTGATCCCTCCTCAAACAGTTACTCTTCATCCACCCTCAGTCTAACTCCGTCTACCCCCACCTCAGTCTGTCTGCTCTTCTTTCCCATTTAACAGCCTCCACTGTCCACCTTCTGTCTCCGTTGACATTCAAGCTTGCCTGGCTGGGTAATGAGAAAGCCTGTGTGGTCAGTGGGCCAGCGCTTGGCTGATGAGCTCTGGCCGAAGCTGCTGTCCTCTGGGCGGTCCACACGTGGAAAGATACCTCCAGTCATAACCAGGTATGAAACATGACTACTTAGTGATTTCATGGCACCTGCTCATTAGGAAATGTACAGTCAACACAGTGGTGACCTGACAATGAGGGACCAATGACTGCAATAGCTGCCTCATTATATTATCTGCAACTCATCATAAAGCTGGGAAAGTGAAAGACACACTTACTTTGTAAACATCTCTTCAGCCTCAGCAAAGAGAGCACGCATCACACATTTCCTCACTCCTCCAGTGGCTCCACTGAGACATACTTCACATAGAGCTCTTCTTAAGACACTTTGGAGTTGAGAGGGCCAACGTAAACACACTTCAGAAAGCCAAAATAAATCTTTACAGCCCCACATGATTCATTTCAGAGATGAAGATTTTACCTTACAAGTTGGTGTAACAGCTAAATAAAGCAAATAAACCCATGTAATTGCTTGTTAATCTGCAGCTGACAAATTCTGTCAAGACAGTTTAACTCTTTCACATAAAACACCTTTACAAAATACCTGTAGTACAAGATCTAATGGCTCAACACATGCAACATGAATCTTAACTCTAACTTCAGTATTCTGAACATATGCTCTAAACAGTTATCACAAATAGAAGGCCATCTGTAACAAGAACCCTTGTATAATGGGAAAAACTGCTTCTGAATGGTGAGAATAGGTTTATTCAATCCATAGTAACCCTCTTGTTTACACAGGCCACAATTTGTTAAAGTTTTACAGGTGGACATACAGTAAGAAGAACTGAAGCAATGCCCTTTAAATGAGGGCTTGTAACCTGCCAAAGTGACTGGTAGAGTTCACGCAGTTTCCAGCCAACGCATAAAAAAACAAAACAAAAAAAAAACAACATTATTTGTCAGGCTGCAATTTCTCACGCCAGTATCTTTTCTTTAACCTTGAGGTGGCATTCACCAAAGCCAAAAAATGAATATACATAAGCATTAGCTCTCCAATGAGCCATGAGACAGACACACTGGTTTAAAAGGTGAGATGCCACCAAGCAGACTGTTCACTGTTGTTGTGTTGCTCTTACATTAGCTCGCTGCTGCTGAATCAGGGGTGATAATTAATAGCCTGTTCTCTCACTACTGCAAACACACACAGAGGACAGCGGCTCTCTCCCAGCGTTTCCCAGATTTATAAAGTGCTGTGCAAACATACCGTGTGACCTTGGAGTTACTGGCTGTTCCAATGACCACCAGCTTCTTCTCAATGCTGTGCATGTGGCAGCCTCGGCCTCAATACAACAGAGTGGCACCACTTACATCTGTCTGCTATTATAGTAAATGAGGTAGCTAAGGCACAAAACTGGTTGTTACACACACAAGTTCCCATGACATGAAACTGCCCTGCTAGCTGGTAGAGACTGGTAGCTACACTACTCTAATCAGATTAATTTAATTTTAACTATTCTGTTCAACCTGAAGTTACTGGTAAATTATAAGAACTAAAACAGATTGAAGATTTCTAACCTTCAGAATTAAACGACAGCACTCAAACAGAGCTAATTATGAAGCATCACACTCCCATCATCTCTTGGGGAGTTAAAACCTCTTGTTAAATAACTAAAGTAATAAAAAGCATGACACAAACGTCCTGCAGATAAGTGCACAAGCACCTAACTTCCTACTGAGCTTCATTAAACACACTGGCCAACAGTGAATCACTACCAAAGTCTGTCCTCCCCCTGCCTCCATGTGTCACCAGCACTTGTGCAAAGAGACAGATGACCAGAGTCGCTGAGGCCAACAGCTGCCTGGACAGTGACAAATATGAGCAGCCAGTATGAGGCTTGAATGTCAACAGTCAGGGAGAGGAGGGAGGAGAACTGGAAGTCCCAGCCCGCTCCCAGCAGTCCGACAGGGCTCAAACACAATCAGCCCTCCCTCCCTCGCTACCCTTCTTAACACAAGGCAAACAATAAAGTTACTTTTCTCTGACTCGCAGTTAATCCATGCTGCGAGGTTTGAACAACAGACTTTTGTTTTTGTGGCCCACATTAACTTTCGCCTGGTCCCAGCAGCGCAGCACGGACCTACGAGAGCTTCTCGTTTGCTTTACACACGTCCTAACACCACAACACAGCGACACAAGCGTGTACAAAACTCTGCCTTCGCTGTCGGGAATACTCACGTCTATTCTCGGGAACTCTTCTAGCCGGGGGCAGCACACTATCCACCTGATCTCATGTCGAGGCTGAGGAAAAACAGACTCCCCGTAGAACAAAAGTTGTTTCCACGAAATTAAACTCGGTTAAAACGTCGGAAGTGTCGCTACTACTCCATTAAAGTAAACAGGAAAACAGAGCCGGTTACAACCAACGAACTTTAAAAAAAAATACGCACAAAAAAACAAGTGCTATAGGTTTAGGCTGTAAATACAGAGTGTGTCGCATTCCTATGGTTTCAGCAAAACGCGGCCCAGTTTCAGGACGTCACAGAGAGAGAGAGAGAGAGAGAGAGAGAGAGAGAGAGAGAGCACGGCTCCAGCAGCAGACCTGACAGAAGTCCTCTCCTCCACTCATCCCGTCCACCTTAGTTCTTCCTTCCTGTCTCACGGAGTGAATCTGCCCTCACAGGTGTATACTGTTACCTGTCAGGTGATGCGGTTCTGACCTGTAATCTTACTTCCTGTCTAGACGTTAGGGATACAGCTATTTTCAATTCAGTTAATGTGCTGATCGTCGGGTCTGCAAAACATAACACAACAGTGAAAACCGCAATAATCACAATTTTCTGGGTTTCTAAGTTATTGCACTTCCCTTAAGATAAATGTCTTCAGGTCATCAAAAAACTAAACTAGTCTCTGTGTAACAACTCATTTGTTTACTGTGCAGAAAATCATTTAGGTTTGATAAGTTCACAGTGTCACAGCAGAAGTTTTAAATGATTAATAAGGCTCCTGTTGCTGCTGTGTGATGGCCAGATATTTAATAAAGTCAAAGAAGTTATACTTCACATTTGGTCTGTATGAGGAGGTATTAAAGTAGACATTTCAAATCTACGCTATTGAAGTTTCTAGCTCTGCCTTGGAACATTAAAAGAATAGCATCTAAAGCTAATGTGTTTGTTTTGGTAGCATTAGCCACCTAGCATGGTCATGAGTTTTCCTTTGTGTTGAATTAATATGATTTTAATTTGAGAGTAATTGGAGCTTTGTGTCACACTAGCAGTAACCAGAGCTTCTACTGGACGGACACATTCACTGTTAGCCAGCTAATGCTAGCTTCAGACTGGAGGCTGCAGTATGTAGTCTGTCCCAACCAGGCATCCGCAGTTTACATCATCGCTGGGAAACAGAACATGATGGGAGGGGGCAAAGAGAGGTCAGGAGCAGCATATGGTGTCAGTTTGTTTTGAGTCACTCACTTTAGCGCTGATGTACTGATCAAATAAACACTCAGACCAGCTATTAATGAAATATATATTTACTGCTTCAATAATAAACAGTGTCCTGTCTCTCTCTCTCTTTGGATAAAGAAACATTCTTTTTGCAGCATCTCTGAGTAAATTAGGCTAATAAGAAGGTATATAGATGAACTTTTAAAATGCATGTTTTTGCTTTTGTTACATGACAGTATGACTCACTTTGGTACAACAGACACCATGGGTATGGCTGAATTTAGCAGTCTGATCAAGGCAGGCCACTGGGAAATACCATGTCTGCCTGCTAATTAAAACAGATCCATCACCAGTGACACAAAGATAGTGAGAGTCAATAGTACCTGTCAAAATACAGCCTCATAAATGCAACAAAACTTTGGGCAACGCTGTGCAAGGAACTGTGTGTCCACCTTGTTGTTCTGTCCATTTGTGACACAATACCAGCAACATGAGTTGTGCACATTCACAAACTATCCTCTTGTTGTTTAGGAAGAGGCTCTCTGGTTTTAACATTCTGAAATAATTACAGACTATTTGGAGTTATGAGGGCTGCCAAGCTTATCTAGAGGTAGCCGAGATTAAACACTAAAGGAATGCAAAAGAGCAGAATGAGCAGCCATGGACACTTTAAATGCTGCTTAATGACAGAACTGAGTTTTGACTCTGTGCCCTGCTTTGTTGTTCATGGTGCTGGGAGCGCCATAAGCCTATTGATGCTTTTAACACATCAAATTAAAACAAGCAAATAAACACTCACAGGTTGACTGTAAACGATTACAAGGCCTACCTGTACCTGATATGTTTATAACAAGAGCTCCTTATCTAACCTGGACTTCAAGGTGTGAGCTTCACTAAGGAGAAGGCTTGCTGACATTCCTCTGAGAGTGAAAACACAGAAGGAACAGGTCCACTCAACATATCAGAGCCAGAAACACACAAACCTGCCAATCCCAGGGCTAAGTTCAAACAAAGCATGCAGCGTTGCAGCCAATGGGCGGCGACTACCAGAGGCAGGTCGTGGAATGTGGAAAGGTCAATGATGAAGATGGCGGAGAAAGCAGCAAGGTTACACATATTTCTACACACACACACACACACACACACACACACACAGGGAACACCAACTGGTACACAAATATTTTGCCAAGTTCACTGGAAGACATTCATAGGTTACTACAGGTTCAAGGATAAATGGGATGTTACAGGTTTAGAAAAATACAAACATTAAAGATGCAATGATTTTGTCTTCTGCTCTGTAATGATCAATATTTTTTATTGTGGATTTCCATACCACAGAAGAGCATGCTAAAAAGGTTTTGATCTAATTAGTGTGAGCAGTGTTAACTGCATTTGCATTCCTCCCTTCTGTAAGATTTAAAACAGATCCACCACAGAAAAAAAACACCTAATATGTCAATATCTCCACACAAAACAATTTTTATTGAATAAGTTAGCTTGGTCACTAAATAAGGCTGCTTGTCCTCTAGCTGTTCAACAGAGTCTGCAGATGCCAGGATCTGAAACTGAAACATGTGAAGCTGCCATGTGATTTTCATCTGATGCTTATAGATGAAAGGAACAGAGGAGTGAAAAAAGACAAAGCTGCTGAGATTAGTTGACAAACCCTGTACAGATACTGATGGTATGGGATACACTGGTGTTACACAAGCAGTTAGACAAAGAGCTGGAGCCATTTATTAGAGTTTAGGCAAAGATACAATCTCCAGCACAAATACTGAAAGTAAGCCACAAGTCTTCTACTGCTGTTGCTGCCCACTCTCCACATTACTGCCTAAGATACTCATGTTGAGACAGGTACCATCCTAAATGCTTCAGGTGAATCTACCCATGATCTTTTATTATGTTCCTACATTCAGAATTTTTAAATTAAATCCAGCAGATAAGACGATATGCACAATCTGACTCAGATTCTATTTGACAGTCATGTGACATATGTCCTCAACTACCCATCATAACAGGGCGGTGCCCCACAAACACCAGTTCTATCGATCAACGCTAGAGTCACGTTAACCACCAGAGCATACTGAAAAACAGGTGAGCCGGAGCTACATTCACCACCACTACACATTGGTGGCATGCTGTGGAAAACTGAGGCAATGAGGTGATGATGTTGTGAAGAAGAATCACATCAGTCTCCTCTGTGGTTAGTGAGGCCAGTCAATCTGGTCTGAAATGTACTGAGGTTCTGCAGGAGCTTAGTGAATGTTACTGAGAACAGACAGTGGATCAGATGGTAAAAATGCTTAAATATGAGCAAGGACAGTGATCAATAAACACTCCTCAAGATTGTTTTATAGCACATAAACAACTAAATATTAGTGGATCCAACAGGGTCCTGAGACAAAACTGTTTACACTGCACTGCAACAGAAGTCCTGCATGTGTCATCCAGACTAATCAAGTGTTATGGGAGTCCAGAAACCAAAGAGCAGCCTTTCTTCCCTCTTCACCTCCCATTGTTAACATGCTGCTGTTCCCTAGCCTTGCAACACTGGAACAACTGAGGTAAAACATGGCTACCATCCAGAACTGTCTTTGCTTTGTGTGTGTGTTTGTGAACCATCAGCATCACCTGGGCCACACAGGCCCAAGCTTGAATGTTCAAGTGAAATTAAAAAACTGTGTGTGCAAGTACAAGAACAAATCTCTCAACAAACAGAGCCAAAGGGAAGGACACAGCTTAGCTTGAGCAAACAGAGTACTACTACTACTACACAAGTGGTTAAACAACTACCAGCAGTGCAAACAATAGAGCTGCAAAGTTACTTTCATTTTAGGATGAACTGTTTTAGAAAATGTCAGAAAATACTGTACGGCACCCATCACAAATCTAATGTCTGTATAGCGCTTGTTTTGTGTTTTTAAGCAAAAAGTCAAAGATACTCAGTTTGCAGTAATATAAATCAGAGGTCACATCAGAGAATGTTAAAACTTAAACAAATACTTGAGGATCAATACAGTTACTGATGTATTTTCTGTCAACAAGCTAAGTAGCACAGATCAAGTCTCTGTTGGACCAAAAGATAAAGTTGAATGTGTTAAATACTAATGATGCAACACATTCACGTGTGTGCTCACACACATCTGATCTTTGAAATGCAGTTGAATTTCTACTGGTGTTTTCTGCACTGATCCGTTACATTTTAATTCAGTAATAAAGTGAAGTGAGAACAGCTGGAAATCATTGTAAATGGTGAGACTCTGGTCAGAATCAAAGTATGATGACACAGAAACAAACACAGATGGGCGACAAATGACAGGACAGCCCAGCACAGAGACTCCCAGTGAGGTGCTGGGCCACCACGTGCCACCAGAACACCTCCACCTTGACTCTCCAAGTCTCTGAACTCTCCTGGAGGGATGAACACCGTTCTACCAACAGATGTTCCCTCATGTGGTGTTTTGATGACGGTGGTGGAGACGCTGTCTAACACGTCGCTCCAACATCTCCCATAGCTGTTCAACTGGGCTGAGACCTGGTGACTGGGAAGGCCACAGCATCTGGTTCACATCATGGTCGTCCTCATCAGGCTGGTCAGGGACCCCCTGGTGTCCTGAGGATGGGGGCTCTGTCATCCTGGAGGAGACCAGGTTTTTCCTCTCATTTGTTGTCCACCTGTATATTCACAGTATATTTAACTCTGAACGAGCACAGGAGGACAGGCTTAAAAAAGTGTTTGATACATGCAACAGGTCTGCAGACTACTTCCTGGTGTTAGCATGAGCAAGCTAACATGAGGACATATAAGTCTGACTGGTTTGTTGGAGTGAATACCAACACAGGGTGGATTCTGATGCAGCACAAAAGGAAGCAGAAGTCTGGCTGGTTATATGGTGAGCCATGTCTCACATCTAGTACAGACTGTAGATACTACACACTCTGCACTGCTGTTATTGTATTTCTGGTTAGATGCTAAACTGTATTTCATTGCCTTGTACATTTGTAATGACAATAAAGTTGAATCTAATCTAATCAGTGACTATAGACCAGTTG